AATCACTTAATGTTATTAAAGGGAAAAAAACAAAACTAAAATTTATTAGATAATTATTAATTAAAAAATGTGACCATAAATTAAAAAATTAAAATTGATAAATTTGTCAATAAAATTAAAAAATTCTAATCCATTAGCGATTTGGTATAAAAAGCTACATAAACTAGTTTTTTCAATCCACTAGCGATTTGAACCCTAACCGCTATCCGCTAGTTTCAAACCGCTATCCGCTAGTTTCAAACCGCTAAATAAAACTTTTACCAAACATTTTAATTGTAACGGTTCTGAAATATATAAATTTACCAAACATCTATATTTAACGATTTAGGTAAAATCACTAACCGTTATCTCAAAACCGCTATACCAAATGGCTCTAAAGTTTACAACCAATTTATGGTAACCATTCATTGTGGTATGGTTTTATACGGAATCATATTATCAACGGTTGAAATAATTTCAAAATATCACAGAGCAGGGGATCTTCTCCATTCAATTCGGGCCGGGGGTGCCATTATGGTAAGCGCGGAGCCCATTCAGGAAATACAGTCCAGCCTCTTATAGCACCAGTGGATCACTCACGGTCTCACGCCATGGAATCTTCTTCAACCTTTTGATTTTACATACTTGAAATTGACCAGCACAACCTTGAAATTCCGACCAGATTCATCACTTTTTATATACCTCGGATCAACTCCTGTCCGCCGTCACTCGATTTTCATACCGAGAAGATGGGTTCACTCTCAGATCAGACCCTTTACAACTCCTGCCTCATCACTCTCTACCTCATCGCCCCACCAACCTGGATCGGCTGCCAGTTCATCCAGGCTGCGTACGGCAAGCATGCCCGTACCGGCTGGGGCCCCACCATTCCCCCAGCCTTGGCCTGGTTCCTCATGGAAAGCCCCACTCTTTGGCTTACCCTCTTGCTTTTACCCTTCGGTAAACATTTCTCCAATCCAAAAGCTCTCCTTTTGATCTCCCCTTTTCTCTTCCACTACTTCCACCGCACCATCATCTACCCACTCCGCCTCGCTCGTAGCACCACCAAAGGTACTGCTTTTCCCGTGAGTGTGGCTTCGATGGCTTTTGGGTTCAATCTCCTGAATGCGTATGTGCAAGCCAGGTGGGTGTCTCACTACAAGGACGATTACGACACTGACAAATGGTTCTGGTGGAAATTTGGTGGTGGATTGGTGATTTTCGGGTTGGGTATGTGGGCGAATTGGTGGGCCGACAGGGTTTTGGTGGGTTTGAAGAAGCAGGGAGGTGGGTACAAGGTGCCGAGAGGAGGGCTGTTTGAGTTGGTGAGCTGCGCCAACTATTTCGGAGAAATCGTGGAGTGGTTGGGCTGGGCTGTGATGACTTGGTCCTGGGCGGGGCTCGGGTTCTTCGTCTACACTTGTGCCAACCTGATGCCAAGAGCACGTGGGAGCCATCAGTGGTATTTGGAAAAGTTCAAGGATGATTATCCAAAGAGTAGAAAAGCTGTAGTTCCATTTCTGTATTGATTTGAAGCTTGTTTTCCCATGTCTATGCATTGCTGAAAATGTGCTAAAAAGCAATTATCATTGTACCTTTTATATAATAAATGGAAAAAGATCTAAGTTTTGCTCTAGTCTCCCATGGTGATAATGGGAAGAGAATGATGATTTGCAATCTGTCTTAAAATAAATTATATATTTTATAATTATTAATAAAAAAAATTATTTTATTATCAAGAGATTCACCTTTAATTAATATGAATAGTGTGTGTAAGACAAAGCGCGCATTATTTCTCTAATAATGGAATTCAACTCAAAAGATAAATGGAAGCAAATCAATTTCTATTAAGAAATGCATCGTATCTAGTTTCAAATTAAAAAAATGAAAAGAAAAAAAAAAGAGGGAGGAATGGTCCATCCCATCATTCAAGAGACTTATTCGAATGAATTTCTCACTTTAGTTCGTTGTTCCATTTCTATTTTGTATAAACATCAAAGAGTAACTATATTTTTGAATCATTCTATACATATATTCAAGTTGTGTAACTTAAAACTCGGGGAAAAAGGAAAGAAAAAAGAGAGAAAATTGACTCAGAGCAACATTGAGAATAAGTGACTTATCTGCTTCTAAAAATGGAAAATGGATGAATTACTTAAAAGAAGCAACAGCACTTCATCACCAAATTCTGTAACTTGAGTAAAAAAGAAATAGAATAAGACAACAATTTAAACAATCAATCAGGACATTGAAAGGGAAAAAAGAAGGAACAGAAAAGTTTGTTTTATTCCTGATAACTGGGAGCATGTCATTAGCTTTCCCTGGCACCGGCAGACTGCAGCAGGATATATGAAGTGTTCTAATATGTGTTTATCAGAAAAAAAGGAAGTTTCGATAAAGAAATACATTCTGGCAATAAATAAAACAGAAAAAGAAAAGGCAGCATGGGAACTGATAACTTTTCGTGTCTGATTCGAAATTGTATGTTCCAGCTTGCAAAAAAGGGGAATGATTCTGCAACTAATGTCTCAACAGATGCAAAACCTTGTCCATCTGGCACGGAGATGACAATGGATGCTTCGATGCGAATGCCAAGGCTTGAGAGGTTGAAGCATCATCCATTAGAAAGACCTTGATTCAGTTCTAACTCTTTGAAAAACACCACCAATTCTTTGAACAACACCATCATATAGCTAATTAATGACACAACTTTTAGAACTGCAAAAAATAACCATAGAACAAAATATGAGCATAAAATCATAGTTACAAATAAAAAGGCAGGGTCTTTTCAACACTTGAAAAACTGGAAATCATAAAAGCTTTCATTGTAGAAATAAGAATAGCAATAGTTCTATTAACTCAGACAAAATTTAGCAGGAAATTGTCTTCTATATTTGTAAAAGGATTAAAGAACTCGCTAGCATTTTAGGGTAAATAACTGTAGGAGGTCACTGTTCTAAACAAAGTAGAATGCCCTTGACCATTCTAACTCATAAATATTGGTGCTATCCTACCCCCTAAAAACTTAAGAGGCAAGAACCTGAAAGGATGTTGTTTCAATAAACACCCATTGAAAATGACTGAATAAGCATATTTTGATAAAGAGAATGAGAACTGAACCCAAAAAAAAAAGAAAAAAAAGAAGAGATATGAAGGAAGGTTAATCTAGTCTTCTCATGTGGTGCTTATTGAAAGGATATAATTTTGGATATAGGCACTTCTAATCTTTTAAAAGGTAGGACTGAAGGCCACTATTCTTAATTTATATTATCCTTAGGAAAATTTGCTAGAAAAAATTTCAAGTACGTAGTAATTTATATATGATATAGGTGGAACTTACACTAAACAAAGCTGCTCTTTGCACCCACATTAGTCTGTACTCTGGGTTCCTCGTGCTTCAAACTGTCTTTCAAATTTTCAGGTGATTTGGCAGAGGATTCTACGACGTCAGAAATTTCTGCCTTCAGATCTTCGTGCTTCCTCTTTAAGTCTGGGGAACTTAAAGCCTGTGAAAGTCTTTTCTTAATTTGTTGTTCTAGAGACTCAATCTTACTTTTTGACTCTGGATTAGGAGTCTTTGCAGCCTTTGCCAGCTCCAACTTCAATGATTCAATCATATCTTTCAAGTCTGATGAATTGACAACGTCTTCAATCTTCTTGTTAATTTCTACATTCAAATTATCCACCTTAGACCTGACAAGTGAGAGTGAAGTCTTCTCACTTAAGGCTTTAGCATTAGACCTTACAACCTCAGCATCCAAACCAATGGACTTGAGAGCATTGATCATTTCCTTTTCTATCTCTTGCTTCATCCCAACAATTCTATCTTTCAGCCCTTGATCTAAATCCCCAAAACTGGATGTGCCAGACCTTTGAACATCAGCCTTTAATGCCTCCATCTTCTCCTTTATATCAGGCCTATCCATTAATTCTTTGAATTTCTTATTGACTTCCTGCTTCAGTGGAGCAGCATCTGAGAGATTCTTGGCCTTAGAAAACTCCTTCAACATGTCAAGCTTATATTTCAGCCTTGCATAGTTTGGTGCCGCTGACAGGCCCTGGTTGAACTTGTTCTTAAATTTCTCAATCTTATCCATTAAAACAGGATCTGTCAGTTGACCCTCGGGATTTACTTTTAAAAACTCTTCTCTTAGCATCTCAAGCTTCTTGTTCAATCCCATGGCTTTGGCTGCCTCAGCGTATTCATGATCAACCTCCTTTTTCAGTTTCTCTATCATCTGAGCCAGGGCCAACTGTGGAGGCTTTGTAGAAGACTCATTAGCTTTCAAAATTTGTTTCTTTAGCTTTTCAATCTCACCCTCCAATTCCAGGTTCAATGGTCTATGATCATCTACTTCTTTCTGTTTCATTTTGACTTTCTTTATTGGATCTATTGGGACTCCTTCCTTAACTTTACCTATTTTTCTGAATTTACGCATGCGATGCTGTAGTAGCGTCTCTGTATCCATCTTTGTCAGGTCCTGCAGGATGATACAACTTCTGTAAATATATTATTCCATATATGTGTTCATGAAGAACTATTGAATGCAGAACTCACATCCATTGTTTTATTAATTGCATATTTTATCTGTTGTGAAGTCCAAGCTGGATCTTGATGAGCTCCACCTAGTGGCTCCTATCAAAAGTCATTAAAAAAAAAAAAGTTTGAGAAGAAAAAGAAATCAAACAGCAAAGAAATCAATATTATTAATGCATAAGAAAGAAGAAAAGATGAAGAAAAAGCAAACTGATGCATGAAGATAACAAAGACGTGAACATAATTACAGGGATGATTCCATCTGCAATTCTCAGCTTGCACAACTCTGGAGCAGTAATCTTCAGCAACTTAGCTGCCTGTGTAAATGGAAATTATTAATAGTCTACAGCCAAATAAATGTCTGCTGAAACAAGAGTACGAGCAATGATTGTTTATGAACCTTAGGAGCCTCTTTGGCACTCTTATACAAGATTGCTGCACATGCTTCTGGACTATATCGCAATAATAATAACAAAGGGAGATCAAATCAGCACACATAACATTGATATAAAAAGTAATTCATGAATACAAAAATAAGAAAATAAAGAAAGCCATACATGTCACAGGACAAAAGGAACTTAAAATGGAAAATTCCCATTATTAAAGGTACACAAGTCCATATGGTATAACATTAATTTAGTATTCAAGTAGCACATTATTGAAAAGTCAACTCACCTGGCCACAAAAAAAACTGCGTTTTCCATCATCAACAACTTGTTAGCACAGCCAATGGCCAGTGCACCACCAGAGCCACCTTCACCAATAACAATGGAAATGACTGGTACCTTAAGACCAAACATGGTCCTCAAATTGTTAGCAATAGCTTCACCCTGCATGAATGAAAAGTTATCTAAATCAGAAGCGCCAACATTGAAATCAAATCATATAAGTTTAAAGTCCAACAGAATACATACTTGGCCTAGCTCCTCACATCTAAGGTCTGCAAATGCCCCAGGAGTGTCAATGAAAGTAACTATTGGGAATCCATGGTGATCAGCATAATACATCATGCGTAAAGCCTTCCTATAGCTGTTTTAAGAAAACAAAAATGCATCAGTCAAGACTCAGGTGATTTAAAACTCTCTTCCATCACAAATATAATGAAGATTCTCAAGGTCACTATAAAACATAAAATTTTAGTAAAACATACCCATGGGGAGTAGGCATCCCAAAGTTGCGTTGAATGTTCTCTTTTGTGTTTCTACCCTTCTGGTGACCCATGAACATGTAATTTCTACCATCTATGGTTCCTATACCAGTAACAATTGCTGGATCATCATAACCGGCTCGATCTCCGTGAAGTTCCACAAACTGGATATTTATCAATATAGAGATGATATTCTTAAGACAATGCTCCCACATCCAGAAGTCAAAAATTACAGATTTATTTTTAAAGAAAACATGCAACATGTAAATATCAGAAAGTCAAAGGCCTATAGGTACCAGACCCTATCAGTAATGCTAAACATATGATCAAGGAATGTAGGTCTGTTAGGATGCCGGGCAATGCTCAGACGTTGTATAGGGGCCAAATGTGTGTATAGGTCCTTTCGAGCCTGAAATCAATGATGCAAGTTTGTCAGAAGAATTCCCAGAAACTATCTTAATAATAATAATAATATTCCAAAATCTTTAATAGGGCATCATCATCTTAAAATGCATAGAAATTTGAATAGTAACACACTGCACAGGAAGAAAATTCAGACATAAACAATGGCAAGAGTTTGATGGATGGACATTCTATTGTCCTTCAGCACCCATGGAGAGATATTGCATCATCTTTACTTCAGAGACTGAATTAAAAATGTTCATCATTATTCATTATACAACGACATGCAGCAAGCAATAAGGAAAACATTCTCTTGCATAAGTATGTTACATGTTAAGAATCTTGTTTTAAGCATCAATAGGCAACACAGCAGTATGCAATTCAAATTTCAATATCACTGCTCAATGAGAAGTACTTAACAGTATAAGCAATTCCTCAACAATAAATTTTTAGTACAAACAAAAAGACAAGCTAGAAATGCTCCATGCAAGAATTCATCAAACCTCTTGGTATTTCTTCTCCAATGAGAGAAGCTGATCAGTGAAATCCAAACCAGTTTTCTCTGCCATCTTCCGCACCTGCTCGTAAAACAAGTACCCCCACTAATGAGAAACTTAGAAAATAATCAACAGTTAACTAATATCAGTAGAAGAACAAATTACATCAAGAATCCTCTTCTCTATCTCAACGAGTGGCTTTTCGAAATCTAAAGTAACAGGCTTCGGCTTCTCTTTCAATGGTTTGAAAGGAGAAAGATGAATTAGTGGTCCACCCTTAACATTGGGATCTGGATCTCTTGGCCAAGGATACTCATGCTTCTTCACCTTCCTAAGCATAGCAGTTACACTGAAATCCCTCCTCTTCTGACAGAATCTTGCCCTGCCTAGGGTTTTCAGAGGGATTCCACTAACTCCATCACTCGAGCTCCCAAAAAGATCCGAGACTGAAGTTCCAAAGATTGCAACATGAGACTGCGATATCGCAGCCATTCTCGAACTCCTCCAACCTCTCTCTTCACCAAAATCCGCAACTTGATCCCCCAAAGACTTCAAACTGTGAGATTAAGTGAAAAAAGAACAAACTTTCTCAGAATAACTTGCTTATACAATAAATCCTAAGCTAGCTTCCTAATAGAAACTAAGAATTCAAGAGAAAAAAAAAAAAAAAGAAAAGTGGAGAATAATAAAGTAACCTTTTCCTCATCTTTTGATCTTTGATTTATCTATTCAAAATTTTCAATCAACTCCTTAATATTCACATTTTCAATTAAGAAAACGCAGCATTAAACTTAAGATTCAAAACTTTCTATTCTTCCTTCCATTTTCTCAGCAACCAAAGAGCATAGCATACAATTCAGAGCAAAAATCACAAAAATTTCCGAATCAAAAAACAGAATCAACCGGCGTCAAAGTTGAACTATCGAAATCGACAGAAAAAATCTCTGAATCAAGAACAAGAATAGCTGAAATCGTTAAGAATTTACCAGAAAACGAGTGGGAACTAGACAGAATGAGAGATCTGTGGAAGGAAGGAAGGAAGAATTAAAAGCAGAAGAGGTTGAAAGTTGGGAGAACAGAAAAGAGAAATTAATTACGCAGTGAGAGCACTGGAGAGATCGTCAGCGAAAGAGAAGAGCTTGTTTGGTTTACGCGCTTAAGAGGGTGGTGGGGTGTGGAGAGGTTTGTGCTGTGTGGCGTCGATATTTCCTAAGCTAGGACAGTAGTGGCTCGGCAAATTTTGGTTTGGGCCGTGTTCTCGCCCACTTGTGGTAATTTTTAGTTAATTTTTTAATTTTAAAATAAATAATTTATTATTAAATTGATTAAGAAAAACTTAATTTTAAAGTTTATAAAAATTTATTTACTTAAAAAAATCTTAACTACTAAAAAAAGACTGTATGATTGCATTTGTATAATATAATGTGAGCTTTTATTATTGACTTTTTATAGAGATCTTTTTTTTTTATCAACTTATCAAGAGGCGGGCTCGAAACCCGTTCATAAGAGAGAAAAATGCACCTCAAACTGACAAGATATCAATTGGTTTGAAGGGGTATGTGTGACTTTTTATAGAGATTTTATGGAAAGCTTTATAAAGAAATTGATATAATGGTGGGAAAAAAATTTTTTTTTCTTAAAATTGATTTAATGAATTCCCTTATTTTATATACTTTGATTAGTATGAATTGAAAGCATTCAACATTTATATATCTCTCAAAGCATTAACATTTCAAATGAATATACATGTCTAAACTCTAATTCGTGGTTTATGTAATTACTATGTAGATACTCCACCCATACTGTTAAAATTCAATTCCATTGTATTTCCTTTTCCTCCTCCCTAGCTCCCCAATTTCCCTGCATAAAAAAGAAAAAAAAAAAAAAGCATACATACGTATGGATTTTATGAAGTCCAATGTTGTTGTTGGTTAGTTGTATTGATGGAACACTCCAAATCCATGGGAAATGAATGAAATGTACCATTACCAGTTTCGAAAGATTTTAATGTTGGGAGTTTTGTCAATAATCATAGGCGCAGGTCAGGACACTAAAACTGTCCAATCAGTCCGTATATTTGTTAGGGTAGGTAATTTGCCGATCGAATTTATTGATTTTTTATTGTTAGAGGATGTCATGTCGTAACCCGTAAGATACAGAAAAACAATAATTCCCTCATTACGAAAATGTTGGGAGGGCCGTGCCGGGGTTCGGAAAAAATTAGGCAAAACCATAAGTTAAGCCCCTGAACCGACCCCAGAATCGCTATTAAGCCCC